TTCAGCCCCTTGAAGATTCACTGCTCTAGATTTTATCTGCCTGTTTGTCCTACAGGAACAGGTGAAGTTCAGTTCTTAACCAGTGTAAAAGGAGGGAGCCTCAGGGAGGGGATGGGTCAGTAAAGCCCCGTGTACTTAAAATTCTTCTGGGATTAGACATTCAGAAGAAAAAATTACTCTGAGCATAGCAACATCTCTGAAATAAAAAATATCCGAAGCATTTACTTTGATATTTGTAGATGCCCCTCTGCCTGAGAAAGAGCGGTGATTTATGTTGACAGCTTCATGGTGGGCTGAGCAAACAGAGTGCAGTTACATGATAGAAGATGATGGAAGTTTCCGTCAAAGACAGACCACATACACCATGGTGTCTGATAACCTTAAGATTATACTGGGTTATAAGCAAAGGTTTGTGATATTGAAAATATTGAATTTACTGCTACCTTCACCTGCTTTAAATAGACCAGGAAGATCAGCATGCTGCCCACCCAGCTTGCTGGCAGCTGGGCCAAGGGACTATCTAGGAAGGAATAGGCTAGGGAGGAGGGGTACCTGGGAACCTGCTTCATGCACACCTGTCCCTGCATGCACACAAACACACTCACACATGCACGCTTGCACACACATGCATACACACTCCTGTGCACAAACTCATTTCCCTTCTTTCCTCTCCCTCCCTTTCTTCCTCTCTCCTTTTTCTATCCCCCCACTCCTCTGCCTCTCCCTTTCATTATTTCTCATCTCAAGCTTTACCGCTCTGCGTCTCTGGATCTCTGCTCTGCTTCTCCCCCTCCCCTTCTCTTCCTTCTTGCTCTTCTCCCTCACTTCTTCTGTCCTAATGTCTACTCCCCCTCTCAGCACCTGCGTGCTTAACCCTCTCCTTCACCCCGTGTTTGCAAGTGTGCTCACACAGCCTTTACTGTATCTTTTCTTTTTAGATACACAAATGATATTGTGTTACAATTGCCTATAATATTTAGTGTAGTAAATGTACAGGCTTGTAACCTGGAGCAACAGGCAGACCACTGGTGTTCCGTGCGCTCCGAAAAGTTGGCAACAACTAGGCTAGCCAATATAGCCATGTGTGGAGGAGGCTGTACCATCTAGCTTGTATAAGCACTCCATGATGTATGTAAGCACAATGATCAAATCGCCTAAAGCAGTGGTCGGCAAACTGCAGCTCACCAGCCACATATGGTTCTTTGGCCTCTTAAGTGTGGCTCTTCCACAAAATACCACGGCCTGGGTGAGTCTATTTTGAAATTATGGTGTTAGAAGAAGTTTACGTTTAAAAAATTTGGCTCTTAAAAGAAATTTCAATCGTTGTGCTGTTGATATTTAGCTCCCTTCTTTTATGTAAAAAATCACCAAAATATATTAAAAAAAAGAGAGATTCATTTCTCATAATGTGCCTCCACTGTCAAGTGAAGCATGACCTTAACAGAATGAAAGGTAGAATTTGGAATTGTCAAAAGGCCATGGTGTCTTCATTTTTGTGTCCTCTTATTTGAATAGAGTGTCCAGCCAGCTCTGATAAGAGCCCAATAAATACGTATTGAATACATTAATTACATAAATTAATAACATGTCAAGAACTTTAAATCTAATTAATGAATAACCATTGCATGTGTTTCTAATAGAGATACCTCTGGGAGTTGATTTTTAATCAAGTAATATTTGGTCTATATTTTTAATTCCTAAAGGGCCAAAGATAATTTAGTATTCTGAGCAAATGAGTTTCCCTTCTTAATAGTTTGAGATATATATTATTCATAAAAGAAAACCCTAGACTCTCGGAGAGAGAGAGAAAGAGAGAGAGCACTATTTAAGTTATTTTGACTTAAGTCACCTCAAAAATTAAGATCACCAACTGATTTCACAGAGCACAAATGTTAGTTCTTACTGGGGTTAGGAACAAAGTGTGATTTACAGACAGCATATATTACTGTATATTAAACTACATCATAATTGCTACAGCAATGTATTGACTCTCTTCAGTAGGACCCCAAACCCAAAGCTTATATTGCTAGGGTTTATATTTTGGGGGAATGTATTGTTCCCCCAGCCTTGGTTAAGTTCTCAAGGCTCACAATAATTTCTCTCACAAAGAAAAGTCTGTGTCAATACAAGAATTTCAGGTAAGCATACTGAGCTGCAGATTTTCCCTCGGGGAACACTGGCATGGAACGCATTACAGTAATTTTCCATCATAGAACTCTACAATAGTGTAGATTTCGGGATAGAAGGATGCAGTATTTTTTTTTAAATAATGTTTCCCAGGAGATTTTCCCAGGGACTGGGAGACCTACCCTGCCCTTCGAGGGCCACTCCGTTTTCTAATGCCACATGCTCTCAGCCAAAGTTCCTCCCCATCAGTTGAGCATGTCCGGAGAAACAACACAACTAGTTGTACTTCCAATGCTGTAAAAAGGGTGACATCATTGCTAAGATTTAAAGAACCATAGCACAGCGCCAGTCTTTTCATTTGTTTAGAGGGGAAACCAATAATGGTGATTTCTTTTTATCACATCATTAAATTAGTCATTTTCTCTAACTGTATTCATTGACTTAAGTTGTGTCTACATAAAACCAAAATGATGGATTCTTTAGCCATTCGTTTCACAGATAGTTAAAAATCTTCAATGCTTTGAACTCATCTCTTTATTGTAAAAAAAAAAAAAAAAAAAAAAAAAAAAAAAAAAAAAAAAAAAAATTTGTGGTTGTTCTTTTTTCCCAAGCCCCCAAAGTTTAATTAGGGCTAACTAACAGCAGTTTAAATAGCATTTTAACTAAATAGCTTTGGCTTGCAGGCTTCCAACAAGGGACCCTTCTAAAGTAAATCTTACTTGGTTAACAGCTGCCAATTGTCAGTGAGCTAAAGGTAATTAAATCTGAAGATAGCTTTATGGCTCAGGAAAATAGATAAAAATCCTGAGACCACAAAGATCGTAAGTTAATGTAGTTATCGCTCCCTGTGGTATCTGAATTAATGCAAGAAATGGATTATTTTCTAACAAAACAGATAAAGAGGGGAGCTGCCATTGTGTGTTACTTGAAGGTAAAATTCAGGTGGGGCTATTTTCCTTTCTAAGATCGAACTCTTGATTTCACTTTATTATAGATTAGGAAGAAAAGGGAAAAAGAAAAGAAAAAGAGTATTAAAAAAAAATACCCAAACTAAAGAAATCATGGTAGGAAGGGTGAGAAGATGGTAGGTAGTTAGGGTCTTTGAACATTCAAAAGATGCATCAGCTGGTAAGGGTTTCAACAACAGAAATGAAAACTTCAATTCAAGGTGCCTAATGCAATATATATATATATTTAATTTTACATAACAACGGTAGTCCAGTTATAGCACAGTTCCAGGGTAGTTCAGAGATTCAGTGCTTTCTTAAAGAACTGAGCTTCCTCGGGCTCATATTATACTTGTAGCAATTAATATTACTAGCTTAGAATGACAAGCAAAAATTTAGGCGGGGGGACCTAAATTTTTGCTTGTCATTCTAAGCTAGTAATATTAATTGCTACAAGTATAATATGCTCGTGCCCCAATGTCCAGAGGTAGGAAAAGTTTTTAAGACCCAAGAAATATTTTCAATACCCCTGCAGAAGGCTTCTCTTTACTGGTAAGTCTCATAGACCATAAGTAGTCAGAGGCCAAATTTAAACCACTCACTGGTTAGGGGAATGGATCACTATGGTTGGCATAGACCAGCTCTGCCAACAGAAAATTTGATTGCTGGGAATCGAACCGTGACCTCATGGTTCATATAGGTCAGTGCTCAACCACTGAGCTAGGCTAGCAGGGCTAGAAAGCATATGCTTGTTCAGTTTTTCACTCTCTCAAGATTATAATCAAAAGAACAAAGAAAACATCAACTCTTTGAATGAGAAAGTCTTAAGTTGTGCAAAAGAGCACTTTGACTGGAAAGAAAATTGGTTCTGCTATAATTATTATTGATTTTTGTATTGTCATGGTGCATTCATTATATTCAAAGTTCTGCTGTACAGGCATATATTTAATGTAAAAGAAGTCAAATAACCATGAGTCACTGATCATTGAGATACTGGAATCTAACATTTCAGAACATCTGAAAATTCATTATTTTTCCCTATTAATATATACATAAACATTTAAACAACACTACCTTTTTATGGAGTATCTTGGGGAAAATAGGTTTCTTTTAAAATAATTTATCAAAACAATATATCAAACTGGATAGAATTATGTCAAGGAAGTAAGGTAAATATTTAGAGTAGGAAATAATTTTAAAATGATGTACTGAGTTCAACAATAAAAAATAAGACAAACTAGGATTTTTTTCTTTTATTGAACTTACGTGGATAAAGATTTTATAATTGAACTTAAGTGGATAAAGATTTTATAATTTTATTGTAAAACTTATGTTTTTATTCCTTCCATCAATCTTTCTTTGAACAAAAGCACTTCAACATATGCCCACTTACTAATGTCATTATATTAAAATGAGGTCATTATTAATGTGCACAATATAAGGAATATTTCCCTCTTTTTATTTATTATATACTTTTCCCAAGTGCTTATATCACAATGAATTTACATTTATATTGTAATCTCAGTTTAATATTATTTTAAGTGATTCACACTGCCATTGTTTGTTTGTTGGACTTTTATTTGTGTTTCAATCTGCTAATTTACTATATATTTTTGACTAACCTGTTTGAACTAGCTGATGATAGCCAGGAATAAAACTCAGTTGAGATTCATGCAAAATGTGAATAATTTTGTAATCAAATGTCATCACCATAAACTTTAAAATTGCATTTATTGATTTATGTTTTATTTCAGAGACAATGAATAAAAATATCCACTGAAATAACTCTTAGTTATAGTTAATTTATTATTGTAGGAGGAAAAGGTATCTTTACATTTTTGGTAAATATTCTGTAAGATCATTTTTTATTAAATTAATAGACTCATAGAACCAAATCTGTTTTCACGGTGTTGTTCACTATTTCAGAGCTTCGAGAAACCAAGACCTCTGAATACTTCAGCCTATCTCACCACCCTTTGGACTATAGGATATTATTAATGGATGAAGATCAGGATCGGATATATGTGGGCAGCAAAGATCACATTCTTTCCTTGAATATTAACAATATAAGTCAAGAAGCTTTGAGTGTAAGTGTATTACTTTCATGGGGGCAATTTGACCTCCCTACATGCTTTTTTCTTTAAAGATTTAAAATACAATAATAAATTATGTGTTTCATTAGGACATTAGAAAATATCTGTCACATGCTTATACATAATTGGAAGTTTTGTTTTTTTAATGGACTGAAAATATAAAATCAATTCAATTTCCTTTGTCTGGTTTTATAGTTTTAAACAATCTAAAATCTGAAGCTAACTGAGAAAACACTTCCTGTTTATACATATATATAAAGAGAAAAAGAGAAGACTAAAGTATGGCATAAAAAAAAAAGGTCAGATTAAAGGAAGACCTACCTTATCATTTATTTGTAATTCAAGCAGTCCTTGGAAGGAACACAATTATTAAGTGCACTCTTCTGTCAACAAATGTAGCCCATATTTATCATTCTGTTTCACAACAAGGAAATAAATGGAGACTCACTGGAGTAAAGAAATAAAAGTAGATTCATTATAAATTTATTACTAAAAGGAGATTTCTAAACTTGTTATTTTAATCAGGAACAACAGGCAGAGAAATAATCTTTACCACCAGACCTGAGCCGATGCTACAATGACTTGGAATGTTGAGACAGTATTTCAGAGCAGGAAACTATTGGATTTTGTCCAAGCTATTTTAACTGTTGTTGTACCTTGGATGCCCATTTTCATAAGTCCACCAGCCCAGCTTGTAGTTCACTTAAAATAATATTAAACTGAGATTACAATATAAATGTAAATTCATTGTGATATAAGCACTTGGGAAAAGTATATAATAAATAAAAAGAGGGAAATATTCCTTATATTGTGCACATTAATAATGACCTCATTTTAATATAATGACATTAGTAAGTGGGCATATGTTGAAGTGCTTTTGTTCAAAGAAAGATTGATGGAAGGAATAAAAACATAAGTTTTACAATAAAATTATAAAATCTTTATCCACTTAAGTTCAATTATAAAATCTTTATCCACATAAGTTCAATAAAAGAAAATAGAATTTTGAAGTAGAAATATAGAAACATCTTAAAGAAATCTGTTAGCAAAATGTAAGTGAAGAGCACTGAGCTGTCCCATGTACAGTGAGATTTATGCAGTCTATATTTTGCTTTCTGGGCAGGTTTTCTGGCCAGCGTCTACAATCAAAGTCGAAGAGTGCAAAATGGCTGGCAAAGATCCCACAGTGAGTGCTTTAAAAAAAAAAAAAAAACCCAAACTTAAATATTTGGTCTTGGAATCCGTGTATGTTGAGTGTAGCCAGGAGTGAGACAACGGGTGTTGGTGTTTTAAATCCTCTCCTGGACACATGGTAAAAAATGTAAATACAGAAAGATTGGAACTCTTCAACATTGTAATTTAGGAATTCCTGACTGGGTAAAACTTTCTTGACTTGCTTTCATTATTGCACCCTGACACTTTTCATGATGGATTTCAGTAATAACCCCTGTTCCAAGTGAATCCAACCTGTGGAATTCTCAGGAGGTTGCCAAAATAATGATAATGCAAGACTCTGGATCAACTCCCAGATACCATGTGGGCTCTTCCTAAGAAAGATTCTCAGCAGAAGGGTTGTGGTTAGCCGGCACATTCCAGAGGCATAAATCACCAGCAATGACTGGTATCTTTGTTAATTAAAAATAACCATAGAAAAAAAATTGAGACAGGTATAAATATCAATAGTTTTCAATGTGAGACACTAAAAACGCCTGTAAAAGTTAGGTTACTTTAGATAGGATTCCAAAGAGTCAAGGAGTAAATCTATATTGAAAGTGGAGTCTAGATATGTGCCCTGACTTGGAACTGAACTGCAGTGTTTTAATGTATGGGACAAGCCTCCAACCAACTGAGCCACCTAGCCAGGGCAGAAGTTTCTTTAGACATTTCAATCACTTTTTCAATAAATACTAATTGAGTAACTACTGTGCACTGGCATGATGTTAATTGCTAGAGATACAGTTTTGTGCCAAAATAAACATATTTGACTCTCATCTACTTTATTATCTTGTTGGAGCAGTCAACATCCTATATAATAAAAGGCTAATATGCAAATTGACTGAACGGTGGAATGACCGATTGCTGACACACACTGACCACCAGGAGGCAGACACTCAACCAGGAGCTGCCCCTGGTGATCAGTGCACTCCCACGAGGGGAGCACCGCTCAGTCAGAAGCCAAGCTCAAGGCTGGTGAATGCAGCAGTGATGGCAGAAACCTCCCCCACCTCTGAGGAAGTGCTAAGGACCCCTTGAAGGATGTCCACCTGCCAGCTTAGGCCTGCATGGGAAACGGACCTAACCAGCAGGTAGACATCCCTCAAGGGGTCCCAGACTACGAAAGGGCACAGGCCAGGCTGAGGGACCTCCCCCCCCTCCCCGCCTCAGTGCACCAATGTTGTGCACCGGGCCTCTAATTAATGTAATAAGCATGGAAATACATGCTAATTCAGAGGTGAGATTGAAATATGGTGATTGGGTAACAAAACTAGTAAATGTATACACACACACACACACAAACACACACACAAAATCAGGCCTAGGTCAAATAACAGCCTTAATTAGTGTTGACTAAACACTTACCATTGTAAGTGTAGCATTCACTTATATAGGGGTCAGAAATGCTGATTCCAGGAGAGAAGGCTGTACGCTGAACCTTGGTAATAAGTATTTCAGAGACTTATCAGGTTGGTTCAAAGAAAGATTAACCCTTGTGGAAGGGGAAAGTGTGGAAATGAACTTTTTATTTTCATTGACTCTTAAGAGTCCCAGGTTTCAGGTTCTGAAAAGGTCAGGCTCAGTGCAGGTCCACGGAAGAACCTGGAATGTTGAATCTCCAGGTCTTACTGGAAAGTGTTCTTGGCAAGAGAGCTCACCAGGAGTGACTTAGCAATGGTCTCATTTTTTCAGTTTCAAAATTCACCATATAAAAAATATTTAAAAGTGGGCAGAAGGAGCTTGCAGGAGCATTTTTGCTAGATACCCATAAGATTTTGTGGACTTTCTGGAGGAAAACAACAACAAAAAACAAACAAACAGGAAAATGGGGAAAAACATTTGTAGGAATATTATAATAGCCTTTTAGGGAGTGAGTAATAGAATGAAGTATGCTTTTGTGGGGTACACTTTCTTGTCCCCTGAAGCTATTATTTCAATAATTATACATAAATTAAACTATTTTCTTTTATTCTCTCATGTAGAGATTTTTCCCAGTAATGCATATCTGATCATGAGTTGCCTTTTTGCCACAGTAATATTCTGTGGCTATAATACTGGATTTAATTGTCCTTTGTTCAAAAAGATTTTTATTTCCCATTTATACAGGGTGTGTAGGTTTTGGATACCTTTGCACATTCTTGTTCCAAAACTTGCTGTTGATTTTCTAAAGAATCTTAGCTAAGTCATTACATTTCTTTCTCTCTTTGGCAAAACTGAAATGCTCTATTATTTGCTCTTGTAATTAAAAATCATTAGATAAAATCTTCAATACATGCTTACGTTTTCCCATAATTTTGTCATACTGTAATGTCATTCATAGATATCTTTAAATTCTGCCATACAGCCAATTAGTATACACAACGTAAGTAACTGGTGGCGGGTTCTGTTCTAGTACTGCCAAAATTGTTGGTTCCTGGAGCATAGCAATCAAAGTAACGCTTTCAAATAATTGCTCTGTCTATGCTAAATAAGAGAAGGTTTGACATATCCATCAGATTGCATACATTCAGGATTCCTACAGAGAAGTGTGCATTAGTCAGACCACAGGATAAAGGCTAGTGGTAGAAAAATGATGGTAAATAGGCCTTTAGAAGTTCTATACATCAACATATTGTATTATACTTTTTAATGAAACCAAGTATTAAAGAATTTCTTAACTCTACTAGAATTTCAATTTGTTTTATGTGAAAATCGAATATTTTAATTGACATGAATGATTTCTTGTGAAGAAACCAGAGGTCAATAAGGATGGAGTTCCTACTTTCAAAAGTCTTTACCAAATACTAGAGATGATGAGGCATATATGCAGTAATTATCAAATAATAGGCAACATTTCATGAAATGAGCCTTCACTTTTCTGTGTGCTTTATTTTAATTCTTGTAACAATGCCACAAGATGGACCTTATTGTTATGTACATTTTCAAGATAAATAAATTGAACCACTAATCATAGTAAGTAGGAGGTCACTGTCTGACCGGGCACATGTGGATCTAAATCCTGCACCCTTAGCCAACCAAACATGCCACCTCACTAGGAAGAGTATGGCAAATTCTAAGGATACACATAAGAGAAGAAGAAAATTGACATGGCAGCTGGGATATTTAGGAAAAGCTCAAAAGATATGGTAGCAACTATATTGTCTTATGTTAACCTTCCTCTTATTTTATGTCAGTGGTACTAATACCTTCTCTCTCTTACAGCCTTTGAAACATGCTACATGCAGTTCTCTTCTTGTTTAGTTACTTTCCCATTATGTTAGCTTGGGAATCGTATGTTCACTCTTTAAAGAAACAGTGCAGATGTCACGTTTCTGGAGACTCTTCTCTCCCAACCTGGGACCGGGCCAGCTACCCTTCCCTCCCATGGGCATACTCGAAATGCACTAGCACTTTTTCCAACTGCAGTTTTTAACAGTACCTCTCCCTTTATGATGAGAAATACCTGTTAGTAAGTGTCATTATCCCCAGGGCCCCGATCTGGATCCGGCTACTTCATAAAGTTTAAACAACATCTGAAAAAAATTGACATGGGAATAGTCAAGCATGGAATTCTTTTACAAGTGGCTTGTTAAAGGTTGGGGAAGCCACACAGTGAATGATGAGTTTATTAATGCTCTTAGATTTATCATGTTTGTTGAAAATTATTTTGCACATATTTCAGAAGTATATTTTGGTTAAATTAAAAAAATTGCTTTTAAGTATTAACCATCTCCTAAGCAAAACAAAGTAATGATGATTTAAACTCATATTGCTGTGTAACAATTGAAAGGAAAAATAAAATCTAGAATCAAGTATTCCCTATTCCTTGAGATTTTTTACTTATCTGAAATTTTAAAGTTATTAGAAAATAATTTCATTACTAGAAAATAATTCAGTATAATTTAAATTTTCAACCCAGGTAATAATATACCATATTGCTATAATCACCTAATGTTCATAAAGAAAATAAATGAGCATGGTGGGAAAAGGGCTAATTTTTACTCCCTTAGCTAAAGAGAGATTAACCTCCCTCCCATTTCCCTTTCCTCCCCGATGTGTTCACATTCTTACATGCTCCATTTATTTCTAAATGTTAATATTTTACTCATATTCTAAATAATTTGAGCTAAACAATAGCACATGCTGTCAAACATACCCAATGAGATAGGACATAATGCTTTGCTAAGTAAATATTCTAAGAGTTCCTTGAAAATTAAGCAGAGTTACATGTATTTAGACATATATGCATTACATGCACACAATGTCAAACTTGATTTATTAATTGTAGAGTATCAATTTTCCTATTTTTGGGATCAGAGGATCCTAAACTACTGGAAACTATATTTTCTTTAGTAATACACTTACCAAAGTACCTTGATTTATTCCCCAGAACAAAGAAGTGTGGGTGTAAAAAAAATAGTTCCTCCTCTCCCCATTGCATATTATGGACAATAAAAAGTCAATATTTTAAAAGCCCTATTCATCTGTGCTCCAGAATATATTTTAAAAACATCTGTTTTTTAAAATTATGCAATTACCGTATTTTCTGGCATATAAGACGACCCCTAATTTTACAGTTAAAACATAGGTTCAGGCCTATATTCGCTGTATAAGACTACCCCCCACTTCCGAGGCAACACCAGTTCTTTTTTTAATAGACCGCCTCTCTGACTCTGGCCAAACTGTGTTCTAGTAAAAAGCCTGCTCAGATTGGCCAGAGTCAGAGAGGCGGTCTATTAAAAAAAGAACTGGTGTTGCCTCGGAAGTGGGGGGTAGTCTTATACAGCGAATATAGGCCTGAACCTATGTTTTAACTGTAAAATTAGGGGTCGTCTTATACGCCGGAAAATGTGGTAATGTGTTTAATATAGAAATATTTGAAGACCAAGAAAAGCATGTAGAACATAGCACACAGTAAATACCATATTTCTGTTAAGTAAATAAAATAAATGCACTATCTAAATATAGTAAGTTAAAAATTGGGGTATGTTATTTCAGCATTTTATATTTTAAAAATATATATTTTTATTTATTTCAGAGAGAAAGGGAGAAAGAGAGAGAGAGAGAGAAACATCAAACATTAATTGGCTGCCTTCTGCACATCCCCCATTAGGGATCAAGCCCACAACCAAGCATGTGCCCTTGGCTAGAATCAAACCCAGGACCCCTCAGTCCGCAGGCCGCTGCTGTATCCACTGAGCCAAACCAGCTAGGGCTCTTTAAGCATTTTATTAGATGACATGTATAGTATATGAACAAAAGGACATTACATTCTGCATACTGTTAGCAGCCTGGATTTTTCATTTAACATTGTACCAGAAAATACTTTCAAAATAGAGTTAAACAATTAAAAGACAGCATGCATAGTACTGAATTCCACTGAAGTCTCAGTCCCCAAACCTTTCATAGATGCCTATTATGGTCAGGGCCTATAGTAAGCTCTGTGCAGGATAAATGCCATATTTACTCTACAGGTTTGTATTGGCAGTTGGAATGTATGAAATTTTATAAAAATATCTAACTCAGTGTGTGTTTATTTGCCAGGAACTAGTCCAAGTCCTTTATTATTATACAAGGTGTGGCAAAAGTAGGCTTACAGTTGTGAGCAAGAAAAAGTTTATTCTTGTATTATTCTTGTATAACTATTTAATTAATTATTGTATATCTTCCTTATAAACAATCATAAACCTACTTTTGCCTTACTCTATATTGCTCACAACAAATAGTATTATCACCATTCATAGATAAAAATATTGAAACACAGAGAAATTACTAGTAAATAAATGTCTCAAGTTCAAACAACTAGTTAAAGATAAAGCCAGATTTTTAATAGCTCTGAGATTTGTATACCTACTAGTAAATCCACTCTCTATGCCCATCTAAAGATTATGGCATGATGCCTGGTTGGCATGGCTCAGTGGCTGTTGACCTAATAACCAGCAGATCATGGTTTGATTCCCAGTCAGAGCACATGCCCAGGTTGCAGGCTTGCACTCCAGTGTAGGGCCACACAGGAGGCAGCTGATCAATGATTCTCTCTCATCATTGATGTTCCTCTCTCTCTCTCCCCCTCTCCCTTCCTCTCTGAAATCAATAAAAATATATATTTTTTTAAAAGACTATGGCATGATGACAGACCAACTCTAATTGTCTCTGGACAATAATCCTCTGTCTCTTCTAGGCACTATTCACCAAGTAAGTCCTGCACTGCCATGCCGTTTTTAATTCTTGCTCTGCTGTTTTTGTTGGAACAATCTTTCCTTATGCTTTTGCCTGTCAAAATCTCTAGCTCATTCTGCAAGTTCCAGCACCAGAGACACCCCCTTCAAACCTTTACACCCAGTTCAGCATTATTCATTCTCTTCTTTCCTTCTATAGCACCTTCTTTCTATTACAGCATCTACTATAGCCTGATGTATGGATGACCTCCTTGCTCTGAAAGTAGGAATTGACTTTATTATTCACAGTACTATGTTCAGTGCTTGCACTGAGTTTATAAATATTTGCTGAATGAAATGGTCAAAGTCAGAAATAATGTATTCAGAAACTAAGGCAGAACAGTGGAAATGGGAATGACCTAGAACATGATTTTCCGTAATTAACTCAACAGATCTATTTTCCCTTTGGGGTTTTTCTCTATAGGGAAGGTTGGAGGGGTACACTGAGCATCATCAAATAGCATGGGAATTGTCTCATGGCTAGTCAGCCCCTTCCTATAGAAAAGCTGGATGGTGGAGGGTGGCATGTCTCAAGAGCCAGCTCAGTTACTTATTAAACCTGGAGCATTTCATTTAACCTCTTTGAAATCCAACTTCCTTATCACTAGAATGGCACTAATACTTTAATTGGAACACTGTTGTAAAGATTAAAAACAACATCAAAGGAAGAGCTCTTTAAACATTAATAACAGTTATAAAAACTCCCTTCTAATAACTATACATTCCAAACACAATTGCAAATTTTAAAGAGGTTAAAAATACAAGATGTGTTAGACACATTTGTGTTTGAAAATCTGCTTTACCCTTGTCTAGCTACATATCCTCAGGCAAGTTAACTAAAAATGTTCTAAGCTTTATTTTTCTAAAAGCGGTTGAGTTGTAACAAAATAAAATAAAAATGAATGAATGTTAAGTGCCTAAATAGCATATAATATGCTAAATAAATGTGAGATATAAAGGTAAAAAAATCAAACCTCCTGGGAATTAAAAGAGGCTAAATACATGAAATGATTATTCCACTACCACATAATAAATTCTCAACAAATATTAGCCATAATAAACATATCAGTATAGCTAATGTATTATAGATATAATATACATAAAATAAGTATAAACTGTATTTGAAATATAAAAGAAATATTAGTGACTTTTTTAAACTAAAACCAGTAATTCATGATGGTAAATGGCCTACAAAACTCAAGAGGAGACAGATATAAGCTATTATTAACAGAGTTGGGTTGAGTTCGTGTCTTATGGAAAAAATAGTATATACAGGACCCCAGAATGACTAACTTTGAATGTGAAAAAAATAAACACAAGCCTCATTGCTCACAGATACCCTTAACATAGACATATTATATACACACCATACATCATCTATGCTTTTTCTCCAGAGAAACACATTATCATCTGCAGTTATGTAGTTAATTTCCAGGAACCTCTATAAACAGGTGTCAAGATACTGAGACATTATATATTTAACGAAAATCCTTAATGTCTTAAAATAAAAATAAAGTGTATAGTCTGGTCTGTAAGGTTTAAATTTTTTTGACAGCAAAGTTAATGATTGATTATTTGATAATAAAAACCTATAATAGAAACATATGTGTAGAAAATTACTTCACGTAAAAATAAGCATATACTTACATACTGTCAAGTAACAGTGAATATAACAGGAGAAAATGATGGGAAATAGAAAATAACATTGACTTCAAATGTAACTTCGTTTTTAGTAAAATTTGTATTTTAACTTTACTAATAATGTAAGTAATGCATGTACATTGTAAAAAAATAAATAAATAAAATACATGGTACCTAGAAGAACATCTATGGTCTCTGACCACCTCTGGGAAAACCACTGTTATCTTTTCATATATTTTCATTAAAGTATTTATCTTTGATTTGTAGCATTATTCTTAATAATGTTCTTTGAGAGAAAAAGTAACCATGAAGGGAACAACATTTAATCTCAGGCCGGATATTAATCTGTATTCAGCAAAGGATAGTAAACACAGAGCATGCAATGATCTCTTCAGTCACAGATGTGCATTTGGTGATGGCCATGTTTATGTACTTCTGCAAGGTCATAGTCAACTTATAATTTCTATAGTGATTTTTTGTTGTTGAGACAATAAAAATGGCAGTTTCTAATGATTGGACTGGGAGCAGGTGAGAAAGGAGATTTTGAAGAAAGTATTTAAGGAGATTATGGGCAGAGAGATGAAAATTACATAATTTTTCATAGAAAGTAACAAGTTTGGCATTTCTTTCATGGTTTGTTTTATTCACCAATTGTAAAGGCCAACAGTATTTGCCATTGTGTACTAAAGATAATATGGGCCTTGTTATATAAGCACAATTTTACTTAGCTTGTGTTTATATAGTGTGTATGTGTGCATACGTGTACGTATGATTTGAAGAAAATTTGAGGAAACAATTTTCTGTATTTAGTCCTAGGTGAAAATTAGCTTCATTCTGTTTCAGAAAACAAAAACTTACACAGCATACTGAAGTGAAATATGAGAGATATATCATTTTACCCATGATCTAAGTTGGACTACCTTCCACCCAAAATAAACAATGATATAAACAGTGTGGTTCTCTTACTATCTCCGAACAACTAAATGTGTTAGAGCAGAAAGAAACATTAAAAGCAAAGTTTCACAGCGATACTTAGTAATAGCAATAAAATCGTCGCTAAGCACTTCTTTACCATTCTTTCAGCACGGCTGTGGGAACTTTGTCCGTGTCATTCAGGCTTTCAACCGCACTCATCTGTATGTATGTGGGAGTGGTGCTTTCAGCCCCGTCTGTACTTATGTGAACAGAGGGAGGAGATCAGAGGTGAGTGTAACATTTTTTTTCATTCTTAGTTCTGCTCAGTGTCAAAGGTCACTTGAAACTGTATTTTAGAATAAAAACTTGTAAATATCAATAATCATAAAAAAGTTTCAAGGCTGGTCAACATAAAATATATTACATTTTTGTTTCTGGCCATCAAGTTACTTTACATACAGCCTTTTGCCTTTAAACATATATATATATGTCTGAATATGTCTGAATAAAAATGCTACAAAAGATAAAGGAAAAAAATAGTGTGATTTCATAATTACTTAGACTGTAAGGTATTGATAATATTAATGCAAATTATAGAAATATTATACTGTACACTCACTTTCTCAGATCTATTTTAAATCATTTCTTATTTATGTTTCAAATTTAATAAATGTTTATGAGATACACACCTGTAAGTGCCAGCCAGAGAGAACTTTATATAATTAATAAATTGTAATTTCATAGTAACATTGGTCTAGAAGGGTTTTCTAGCCTTATTCTTACATTGGGAAAAATGACTTGGGGGTCTGTGAAAAAAAGTAACTTCTGAGAGTAAATATACACCTAATGTACAGTCAAATATGTGGCTGGTTCAACTTCACCTGTGATATTTAAGTCTGTGTTTATCCCAGTTTACAGTTATTGACTAAGGAAACAATTCATTAGCCCAAAGAGATTTTCTGGATTCTTTTAGTCGAACATGTCATATTTAATATAAATATTTTAAAAACTAAATTCTTTCATAATATCTTGCTTTGATTTTATTATGCATCTTAAGCCTAGAAAGTCCAGTTCTTAGTGTCTTAATTCAATTTTACAGATTAGAATTATTTAAAAAATTAAATGCTGCTACTGATATACCTTAGGTTCATTTTTCTTTAACAAAAGTTAATGTATTTTAGTATGAATATAATTGAATAATCTCTCTGTATTCTTGTATTATTAATTTTTTCATGTATGTAATTTATATGATGTATATATCTTTTGTTGAATTAAAAAATCACTTTAAAATGAGTAATTATCGTTTGGTCCCGTATTGATGCATTTCCAAGTGGTTCAAAACAATATGAAATATTAAAATTCTTAAAGAAATATAAAGCTATGCTTCTTGGAAGAGTACAGTTGGCTGCATTGAGCTTGTCATTAGAACCACATGCCTGTGATCAACTGATAAATAAACTACTGCCCTAGTCATTGGCAATCTGTCAGACCCTTTAAGCAACCAAGTAGAAAGCTTATTATTTATGATGAGGCTTTGTTTTATTAAAGAACAATTGGTTAACTAAATGCAAAGTTACTTATTATTACTATCTTTTAAATTTTATCTTCAATAAAGGACCAAGTTTTCATGATTGACTCCAAGTGTGAATCTGGAAAAGGACGCTGCTCTTTCAACCCCAATGTGAACACAGTATCTGTTATGATCAGTAAGTGAAAAATAAAGGAGACAGTGAGAAATAGAAAATAAAAAGGAAATTAAGGATAAATAATTCATGACATGGTATGCCCATTTTTGATAATTCTATGGATGATAGTACATCAGTAAAATAATAGGAAGAAAGGTTTATGCTAAAAAATAGAAATTTTAGTTTCTCATAATAGTTCAGGAATATTCATAATAAGCATGTATTTTTTCATCAAACACAACAATGCTGTCGTTCCTAGAGAAATCAACCATTTACAAAAAAAAATGCATATGTATATACATATATATATATTAGAGGTCCAGTACACGAAAGTTATGCAAGGGGGGTGTTGTCCCTCAGGCCGCCCTGCACCCTCTTACAATCTAGGACCATTGGCCCCTAACTTCTTGCTTGCCTGCCTGATCGCCCCTAACCACTCTCTTGCCTGCCTGATTTCCCCTAACCACTTTGCCTGCCTGCCTAATTGCCCCTAAGCACTCTGCCTGCCTGCTTATTTGCCTCTAAGCACTATACTTACCTGCCTGATCACCTCTAACTTCTCGCTGGGGAGCGGCTGGCCAGGGAGATGGGCTGTGGTCATTCTGGTCTCTGATTGTTCTAGTCTTTCCGCCATTTCGGTTGCTTGGTTTTTATTATATAGGATATTAACATATATTATAAAGTTATTTCCAAGTTTCCTGTAGTTATTTTTCTAGTATTAAATATACCCACTTTCCTCATGTTTTAGTAATCTTTTGCAAATTATTAAAAATGATGTTACCCCCTGATGAAAGACTAACAAAGTACATGGGTTAGCCAAATATACTCCTATGGATTGTCTACAAGTTGATATATAAAACAAGAGCTGGTAGTAAAATCACTTTTCTATTTTCTCATTTTCTATAAAATATATATCAGTGAAGAAGCAGGCCCAATTGCTTGCTGGTACTTATTTTGACAAACCAATGTCTTTGAGTCTCAATCATCAAATGCCATTCTATAACTCACTTAAGACATTCCCTTCTGGTTAGTTAAGACACTTCTAGAATATGTCTGGTTTAACATGAATTGACTCTAAGAACAAATCTGGGATCCCTTGCCAACAATACAGTAGATACTTACCCCTGTTTGCTTTCTGCATGTATTGCCAATAGTAAAATTATATCATTTGAGAAAGAGAACAGGTGGAAAAATAATTATTGTATTTAAAATGCTTTACTTTGATTCATTTAAAGAGGCAACACATCTTGTTCATATCTGGAAACTAAATTAAGACAGGTACATCTAGCACTGACTAAAATGTGACCTTGGAAGTTATCCAGTGAATTATTTCCATATGGTCATTCAAATTGGGCAAGGAGGAAATGAAAGCATATAATTAGGACAAAAAAATTAGAAACCTTTGAAACCACAAGATATCCAAATGTCTGATGCAAGGGCTTTTCAGCTAAGTTTCTAAATATTTAATAGGATGTGTCTTAGAAAGTCTTCTTTTTTTAAAAGACTTTATAAATTCTAATATTAGTTAAATATATAGAGTTTTCATTCATTTCAAGCTAAGTGCTATGAAAATAAATTTCAAAGATTAGTTAGTGCTAATACTGTAGTTTGATCTCATCAAATATTGTTTAGAACAGTAAGGGTTAGAACAAGGCATTATGAATCTTAGTGTTAAGATTCTGTGATAAGCCATTTATTAGTTTTGCCTTTAGAGAATTTTTTTTTACAAAATTTAATTTAATTATTAACCTTCATTTTTTAAGGATCTGAGACTTCAGTTCTGATGCTGATGTTTCTATACAATCTTTTAATACTTTGATCAAATTATATAATTTATACTATCACTGAAATTCAGTAAGATGAAATCAGCCAAGCTGATGAGGCTTGGTGGTTGAGCACTGACCTATGTATCAAAAGGTGATGGTTCAATTCCTGGTCAGGGCACATGCCCAAGTGTGGAATGTGTAGGAGGCAGCCAATCAATGATTCTCTCTCAGCATTGATGTTTCTCTCTCTCTCCCTCTCCCTTCCTCTGTGAAATAACAAAAATATATTTTAGGAAGAGAAAATTGAAACCAAAATGAGTAGGAAGCTTGATAAGCTTATATTTATAATTTTATTTGTTCTATTGATTATTTCTCTAAAATTATCTTCATTGTCATCTCCAATGTTGTATAATAGATCTATACAGTCCTATCTCTTTGCTATATAATGTTTGATCATTTCTGTTCAACTGCAATCAACTAAATAACACATTTTTGTTAAAATATTTCTATTAAAGTGCCAAGAAACATTGCGAATTTTAATTCCAAATTTCACAATACAGTTGTGACATCCAACCAAATATGTATGTTTAGTATTCTTTTGCTATTTTTAGTTATTGTTGTAACACACACACACACACAAAAAAATCAGATGACATCTTTTAAAGAGCTAATCAAAAACCCCATATAGTTTTTCTGGTAGTAGAAATGCAATTGGAAAGCAAAATATTTTTGGATTAAAGAGAAAAGGCATAAGTTTATCTTTGCAAAAGTCCTACAAAAAGAAATCCTTCATAAAATACCCTATTCTCAAAATCCATCCCAAAGTGACATTAATTAAATATTTCTTACACAAAATAAAGCAGGCACTTTACTATTCCTAATTATTGAGAATTTAAGACAGGAAATGAAGTCAGTCAGACATGCAAGCTTTTGTAACGTTTAAGACCTAACTAATAACGTGGTGTGTAATAGGATTAGAAGCAGCCCTATCCTCCCGTATCCTTTATTCTTTCCTTCCTGGATACAGAGATGATAATTGATAGCTGTGCTAGTCAGTCTGTTACATAACAGGATTTTATAACCCACTGTTTAGAGGGTAACTGGGTATAACTACAGTATAAAATGATAAATTCCTAAGTTATTTCAATTTAACAACCATGTTATCTACAGAACACTTGTGTAGATGCTTCATAAATGCCCATACAATTTTAAAAGAAACTAAACCACTCAAAATGTTTTCCTGAACATTTTTGTTCTGTCTCTATAGTCAATTTCCATGGGTTTTAGACCCCTACGAGGAAGCCACCTTGGAGACACAGTGCCTGCCATACCCAATGGCTGACTTGCAGGGGTCCGTTTCATGACCTAGTGAACACATATTAAAAACATTCCACTCTTCGTTCTATCCCAGGCCAGTTGGTATTGCTTGTTACTAAACAGTGAGCTTAGAGCGCTTCAGAATGTTCCAGCTCTGCCAAAGACCACAATCTCAAAGTAGCCAGGAAGTAATACTGGAACAGTAGTCAGAGAGCACAGTTGCATGGTGGTTTAGTGGGACAGACGTGATAAAATGTATTCTCTTTTAAATAGACATTTAGCTACTGCTTTATTCTCAAGGGTCACACATACCCATTCAATGTATACTCTCTTTCCTAGCATAAAAATTAATGTGGATAAACTAAATGTTATGTATATACAGGTTAAAATATCTGTTTTTGCTATCAATAATGATAATTTAATTTAAAAATATCTTTACTTTCTTGTCTCTGCATTCTATTTCTCATGGCTTAATATGGTAAACCATATGTAGTTTATTGATATAACATTATTTTTTTACTATAATTTTAATATATTGTTTTGCAAATGAAAATAGAGAACTTTGATTACCATATAGAAACTTTCTAGCACTGAAAATCAAAGTGTATACTTTTAATGATGAAATTATTATATCATTAATAGTATTTTGACATTTTAAAGTTGCCTCTATGTCATTAATAATAATAATAAAAAGTATTAATTTCAATCCATTTAGTATAATCATATAATTTTTAATATGTGGTGAGGACTTTTGAGAACCCCAATCAATGCCCATATTTTACAGATGAAAAGATTGTGATTCAGGGAGCTAAATGATTTAGTCCTAATTCCCAGTTTGTTAATTACTGCCCAAAATATGAAGCAAGTTTTCTGACTCTTACAGTATTAAAACAAAGTAATAATTAAGCCATTCTGTTATCTTTTATATTATGTTATATATATATCATTTCTGCCATTTCTGATACACACTATAAACATAAGCATTTAGTATTATTAAGTATAGGCAGAGGAATTTTTATTTCTTCATAGAATAAAGTCATTTTGGTAATCATACAGTCAATAATGAGACCAGATAAAACTTTATTCAACTTTTTATTTGGTGGATAATATAAACCAACTAATAATTATAAACACTGTAATATGTATATTAATCTAATTAAGTAAGTTCTCCTTGATTTTGGAAATAGCCTTAAAAAACATTTACATTGTGTTGACAATTTCTTTTTCATAGATGAAGAACTTTTCTCTGGAATGTATATAGATTTTATGGGGACAGATGCTGCTATTTTTCGAAGTTTAACTAAGAGGAATGCAGTCAGAACTGATCAACACAATTCCAAATGGCTAAGTGGTAAGAAAACATTTTATACATTTTTTTAGAATGATGCTGTAGACTAATTTGTTTAGTTCCATAATAAAATTTAGGTAAAAGTGGTAAAAACAAAATAAATTACAGTGCCATGTTGTCAGTGACAGTAATTTTGACTTTATGATTTTAAAAGTTTAGGATAAATAAACAGTTGAAATAGTCATATGCTAACTCTTTACTAATCATCATACAATCATTATAGAATATATAAATTTAAAATGAGTGATATTCTTCATACATGCTTGTACACAAAGTCCTAATTGTTTAAGTGTAACATATTATAATTAAATATGTTATTTGTACATTTAGATTGTATGTTTTAATAATGTCAAAGCTAAAAGTTCCCTAAATTTATGACAGATAAAATAAATAGGGTATATTCAGAAACTATATTTGTTTTATACTTAGATTCTAAATTATAAAACTGGCATATATTATTTTCTCATAATTTGACTAAGATTTAATAGAAATCATAGGTATGATAATTTTATGATTATCAGTTTTCAACTACTTCCAGATCACATGGAATTCACATCATTGAAAGTGCTCATTTGACTTTAAAGCACAATTTCAATGAGTTTCTATTGTTGAGAGGAGTAAGAAACCACAAAGGTTTTTGCCATTTCACCCGGGGGGGAAATTTCTAGCTCACCCTAAATTTGGCAATTCACTTAACATTGCACAGTTAAGCATGAATCACCATAGTAAAGCATCTTGTTTCACTGATAGACCAGCACAAGAAAGCGTTGATTGTCCATTTTCTTCTTCAGATTATTCCTCTGGTACATCTGGAAATAAAATATCCTAAAAGTTGTTTTGTTCTTGAAATAAGGAATCCTTCTATGTCTTCGAATGACGTCACTTTTTCTTTGAAAAGTTTCCCTTTTATTTCATACACTGTATTTTAAGAAAAATGTGGTTTTCAGATCTTGGACTCCCCACTCCTCATTCCATTCTGCTTCAGTGAATTTGAGTTTATATGCACTGGATTGAAAACCACACTTTGAAAAACAAACCTTTCCTCTCTCCCCCCCCCCCCCCCCCCCATTATATGACTGACTGTCAGATTCCAAGGGAAATAACTGGTAGAATAGTTTTCCAAATTTTTAAAACTCATCAGTGCACAAAAATTTTTTTTTGAATTTACTGAACTTCCAGAATATATTGTAGACAGAGAAAAATAGTTTGACCTGTCTTATTATAACTATATTTTGTGGCACTTGACATTTAAAATGTTGGCTGAATACAATTACTGCTTTTATACTTTTTGCCTATGAAAATCAAATTATTGTTTTACACCAAAGATGGAGAAGCCATGTGTCTGTGGTCCACTTGGATGAACAGTAGGTGGACTTTTAGCATATATTTTTAGAATATATTTATAGTCTTTGTATTTCTTTTCAGAACCTATGTTTGTGGATGCACATGTCATCCCAGATGGAACTGATCCAAACGATGCTAAGATTTACTTTTTCTTCAAGGAGAAGCTGACTGACAATAGCAGAAGCACAAAACAGATTCATTCTATGATCGCTAGAATATGTCCTGTAAGTATTAACATCTTAAAATTCAATTTATTTAAACTAAAAATACAAACACCCAACAGCCCCCCCAAAAAAACAAAACAAAACAAAAATAAAAACAGAATTCACCCATTTTAATCACTTTTACTACATCTCACTGTCACTTGAAACCACTGATCTGTTCTTGTATCCATGAGCTGTCTTATTGCTTTTGTTTAGATCTCACATAAAAAGGAGATCATACATATCTGTCATTCTCTGTAGGACTTATTTCATTTAGCATAATGTGAATCCAATGCCATTTTCCTGCCCTGTTTGGGGAAATATGTATATTAAAGCACCTGATTAGAAAGCTAGAACTATTGGGAGCCATTTGGTGTTAAGTGTAAATCAACTCTGCTGACCACAGTAGGATCTGCAATCTCGCTGTATACAATAATACTGTATTTTCCGGCGTATAAGATGACACGGTGTTCTAGTAAAATGCATGCTCAGATTGGCCAGAGTCGAGAGGCGGTCTATTAAAAAAAGAACTGGTGTTGCCTGGGAAGTGGGAGGTAGTCTTATACAGCGAATATAGGCCTAAACCTATGTTTTAACTGTAAAATTAGGGGGTCGTCTTATACGCCGGAAACTATGGTACTCATATTGGAGACAATGAGGTATAAAGAAAAGGCACATTGAATGATCTATGTTCTATAACATTTTACAAATATTTTCATCCTTTATTGTTATGTTTATAAAGCTTTAGGGAATATATTCATTAAATTCTTTTTTAAAACAGTTCCAGATGATACAACACTGTAGAAGAATAATATGTAGTATATAACCTATGGCTATTTTATAACTATATATCTTAAATAATACATAGTATATAACCTATGTCTATTTTATAACTATATATCTTAAATATTCCTCTCTATCTATTGATATTCTAATATGGTTAACATAGTCATCCTTCAGATTACAAGTCCCCAACTACAAGTTGTAATAGACTTCAGTATTTACTTAAGAAAAATGTAATGTGTTCAACAAATCGGTTTCAGAATGACACGGGTGGACTGCGTAGCCTTGTCAACAAGTGGACTACCTTCCTGAAAGCCAGGCTGGTGTGCTCGGTGACAGATGAAGATGGCCCGGAAACACACTTCGATGAATTAGGTACATGGATGTGAATCTGAAAAATGTTTGAAAGAGACTTTATAGAGTTTATAAAATTTAACAATAAACTCTCAGGAGAGGATGTGTTTTACATGGATGTTTTCAGCATAAACAATATGTCAATTTGAAGTAATGATGTGGATACTCTCAATTTCTTAAGTATTTTCAAAATTTGTTTTATATCTGACTGCATTGCTAAAACATTTAGTTCATTGAATTCTCCATGATATGTTCCTAAATTCACTGTGAATTTACAACAAATACATCTTTCTTTGTATTTCTCAGCAAGAATTTTATTTGCAAAAAATGTCACTAAAAACAGACATTTCTTGTAATCATAACAATTGTTTGTTAATTGCAGTTTTCTGTCAGAAAGTTAGTTCCAGGTTTTGTTGTACGTTTATTACTTTACTTTATTATCTATACCATTGTCTTTGCTTTAATATACTTTAAACTTCTTATTGTCAGAGAAATCGTTAATGAAAAATATCACTAGCAACTTTGACCATAAGCCAAAAAAATTCAAATTTTGTACGAATAAAAAAGTCCCTGTGCAAAAGTTTTCTTCCATGTAATAACTTCTAACCCTACCTCAGAAAAATGTAAATAATTAAAGGATATTTAGAAATACAGAGAAAAGGCTAGACCGGTTTGGCTCAGTGGATGGGGTGTTGGCCTGCGGACTGAAAGGTCCCAGGTTTGATTCTGGTCAAGGGCATGAGCCTTGGTTGCGGGCACATCCCCAGGAGGGGGTGTGCAGGAGGCAGCTGATCAATGTTTCTCTCTCATCGATGTTTCTAACTTTCTATCCCTCTCTCTTCTTTTCTGTGAAAAATCAGTAAAATTAAAAAAAAAAATTACAGAGAAAAAAAGCAGCAGAAATAGTTTAAGGTTACATGGTTCATCTTATATTCCATTGTGCCTGTTCCACTTAATATTATTTTATTAGCATGGTTTCCATAAAGTTTCAGTCTTCATAAATCCTGTTAGTGGTTGTATGACATTTTATTTCATTTATTTTATCATGTGCCTATAATTTAATTCCTTTTAGTTTTAGAGTTGGGATGATGCTGCAGGAATCTCAGAATTCTTTTCATAGTTTAAGTTATATTTTCTTAGGGTAAATTTTAAAAACACAGTTAATATTTGGCAACTTAAAAAATGATATTTCTCTTTTATAGAGGATGTATTTCTGCTTGAAACTGATAATCCAAGGACAACACTAGTGTATGGCATTTTTACAACATCAAGGTAATCATTAAACAATTGTATCTTATGATTTAGGACTGGGGACTGTCGAGTGGCGGCAGCCAGGGGAAGTTTTGCAGAGCAGTCACAGGGCAGGGGATGCTCATGAAGCAGTCACAGGGCGGGGTTGGGGGTGGGGGTAGGGGTGGTGGTGGAGTGGGGAGATTCACAAAGCATGTGCAGGGCCGGGAAGCCTCACAGAGCAGTCCAGGGACAGCGGCCCTGAACACCAGGGAACTTTCTGGGGCGGGGAGCTTCATGTAGCATCACAGGGTGGCAGAGGCCATGTGATGGAGGCCAGGCTCAGCCTAGGGACTCTACTTGTGCATGATTTCGTTCACTGGGCCTCTAGGAATCAATAATATACCTTGTTTTTTCAATGGGTATATAAGTTTTCATTGGCCATCTAAGTTTTCCATCATGCATCTAATTTAAGAGAAATACGTGAGTTGGAGAAAAGTTGGTTTCAGCCAAAACCGGTTTGGCTCAGTGGATAGAGCATAAGCCTGCAGACTGAAAGGTCCCAGGTTCGATTCCGGTCAAGGGCATGTACCTTGGTTGCGGGCACATCCCCAGTAGGGGGTGTGCAAGAGGCAGCTGATCGATGACTCACTCTCATCGATGTTCCTAGCTCTCTTTCTCTCTCTCCCTTCCTCTCTGAAAAAAATCAATAAAATATATTTTTTTAAAAAGAAAAGTTGGTTTCAGTCAATATGCCTTAGTGACAATGCCAATAGTTTTCATTAAGTATCCAATCTAAGTTTATGGGATTTTACTGACTAAAGGTAATTTACTGAATCTTCTTGGATCCTCTTTTTTTCTGTGACTAGCAGAGAAAATGCATAAATAATGATGATTCAGACTTTTCCAGTACTATTTAGGATAACCTCTCACATTAAAAGTCAAGACAAAGAGATATGATATTCTCTTATTAATGAAATTTGTTTCTGTCAGTTAAATTATAATAGTACTGATAGTGATTTAGAATTCAAATTCATATTTTAAATAAATCAATTAATTTTTTGTCTCTTAGATAAACTAGTTAGAAACTTCTTTAACGTACACTATATTATAGAAACATTAAGAACTTTTCTATAACTTATTGTCTTTTACATTCATGAATGAATTAAATGTCTTAATGCTTTATGAATCAATGGCTTATTTCAAAATAGTCAAAGCTTTTTAGCTTTTTAATGTGTACCATAAAATTGAATTTCTCCATGAAGAATTATTTCAATTTTTTATTATGAATTTTGGCATCTATTTTTAAAATCGTATTTAAATTAAAAGAGTCAGAAAATGGATCTCTTTCTGTTTTCATTTTTTTAGCTCAGTTTTTAAAGGATCAGCAGTGTGCGTGTATCATTTATCTGATATACAGACTGTGTTTAACGGTCCTTTTGCCCACAAAGAAGGTCCAAATCATCAGCTGATCTCCTATCAGGGTAGAATTCCATATCCTCGCCCTGGAACTGTAAGTATCCAAAAAGTATCTTTTTATTTTCTTTCTAAAAAAATGAAATTTAATAATATAAATCAATTTGACAGTCATTAAATACAACCATAGACCTACTGGTATATTTCTTATAATTTTTTCAGGTCACAGCTTTCCAGATTTGGGATATATAACATGTTATATAAGTTATAGCACTCTCTATATTTTTTTCTAAATGCTATTGCTAATAAATCTTATTTAGATTTCAAGGCCACTGAGTATGTATGAGGACAGAGATATTTTCCTAATTGTATTGACATAAAAACCATAGCTTGGAAAGTGTTAACCTTTTGGTGGCAACCTAAGAATGTGGATGCTTTTCACAACTCTTCTTTATATTAAGGAATCTCATCTATTTTAGTGAAGAAATATTTAACTAAAATAGATGATAAATTAATAGAATTAATTTAGAGATAAATCGTGTGGAGATACTTCAATTTAAGGGGTATATTTATTTTAAACATATATGTTATTTCTCATAGAAAATAATATATGTGAGTAAATAATATCAGTGAAAGTGATGTTACAGTTCAAACAATTTATAAACTCTAAAATTTCAAGGCATACAAATATATCTGAGTCTGGCAATTTTAATAATATTAAAGAGTACATTAAAACTAACTTTTTTTCAGGTGAAGTTATAGAAAGTGCACTGGCAGATTGGAATTGAAATGTTTCTAGGACAACAATGACCACAGTCCTATTATTAGTTTTTTATTTGACTCATAATACTGCTGCCTTGCATGCTAGAACACTGATTAGTTTCTGTCTCTGTAAAATGCCGTGCAGTGTACTGATTGAGAGGAGATGTAGATGCTACACAATTGACGTCAAGAGAAATGTCATTTTCTTATGTCTGTGCTTTCATAGACTAGAGTCAAAATAAAATAGAGTGTATGTGAGTAAATAATGATTGAATGATTTTATGGACAAAGTTAAAATAAAGTCGTTAAAAATAATATTTACTTTTTAAGTTTTTTTTTAACTTGAATATGAAATTCCCTTTGCCAGTATGCTTTCAGATATCCATTCCATATCATTTTTAGCAATTGTTGATCCACTTTGTTTTTTTGAGTTACTATTAGAGTCTGTTTACAAAGTGTTATTTACTTCCTTATTTTTTTTATCATCTTAAGTTGTACTGTACTCAATTTTTTTTTTACAATAGAAAAAATTATCTGCAAAGATTTTGAAGAACTTATTTATTCAAACTAAAAGGGCTCAAGTTTGGTATCCTGTTAGGAACCTGAAAGATTAATCATTTTATTAGCAAATTAACTTTTAATTAACTTTGGAAAGATTATCAGCATTGCTACTAATCCATGAAAAAATAAATTAAAAAAACCATACTCAATTATGGCTGGCAACACAGTCTTATCATAGAATTCATAATCTCCTTTTAAATTACCTCTTTATGATGCTCATAGGTCAACAAAAGAGGAAGAAATAAAAACATTTAATTATTTTGTATAACATAAGAAAAATAAGTGAGGAGATATATCCATCTTAAGATACCTCAGTTTAGGGAGTGTTGGATAAAAACCAGACATTACATAAGAGAGAGGCAAGTAAAGGGGGAATTGAGCAACTTTCAAATTCCGTTGTCACTCAAAAGTGCTCATTTTTTTCACTTACAGCATTTCTTGCATTTCCAGGTGACTCACTGATAATGTATTCAAAGATAAATCACATTTTTGAGAATGACTTGATATTTGAAGTTGATATTTGAAACTTCACCATAGTACAGAAAATTTAGAGGTGGTTGTCATTACATATACTTAAAAAAAAAAAAAAGGTTTTATTGTTTTTGAGAAAGAAAGAGAGAGAGAGAAACATTGATCAGCTGCCACCCACATGAGCTTGACCAGGGTATGTGCCCTGACTGGGAATCCAATCTACCACCTTCCAGGACATGGGACAACGTTCCAAACAATTGAGCCACACTGGCCAGGGCTGATTATATATACTTTTACCCATTTCTCTTTGAATAACACATCTATGGGATATAGTGCAGAAGATGTGTAAACTCAAGTGATACCTTTGAGAAATCCCTTGGATAAACCAATAAAGCATATAAAAGCTAGCCACACTAATTTAATTAAGGTTCATGGCTGCAGAGCTGCAATGAGTGTGTGGGGAGTCCAGCTTATACGAGCTCATCAGAACAGTGCACCTAGTCTCAAGTAAGGACATCATGCTAATAACTTGAGAAGAGCATTGTGGGAGTATTTGCACTATGGAAATTGGCAAATATTACAAGTCAGGGATTTTCCCCCCTGAAACCTCCCTCAACCCAGTGCTCATCCGACTTTTCACCAGATCAAAGGGACACTGAGCATCACAGTGCGAGAACCCCTCACATCAGATAGCAGTTATTTTACATACAAGGTGGGGATGGAAAAACCCTTTTTAGTAAAACAGTAAACTAGTGTGAAACTAGAAGAGCCTGCCAGCAGTCCCACTCTCACTATTCCCAAGCTCCTACAGATGAGCATTTTTTTCCCCCTGTCCTAAAGCAGTGTTGGAAGAAGCCTGGGCTTAGCAGCGAGCATCTGGAGCTGACTCCGTTAAAAAAAAAAAAAAAAAAAAAAAAAGGGAGTAATCAGTACTTGAGACATATTTCTGTAATGGGCCTTCTTACATCTGGTGCTGAGGAGAGAGCAGCTCTTTTAAATTAAAAAAAAAAAAAAGTCAAATGAGTGAGCTTTTGGGAACCAAAGAGGCAGAGTGGAGGAACGACCTCTGGAACTCCTCCCAGGAAAGCATTCCTCCCTGAAGATTCGGTCCTTCCATCCTTTACTGAACCACACACCACGGAGTCAGCTTTCTGGCTCAGAGTGGCCAGTGTCTGTCTCTTCCCTGCGCTTCCAGGATTTCACATCCCATTCATGGAGCCAGAAGACCTGCAGCCAAGTGACCGAGAGCATCCCCTCTTCTCTAGGGTTAAGAATGTTGCCCCTGAAATCCTCCCAGTAAAGGATCAACCGTGATTGCCATACTTTATTTCCATACACAGTAGTTGCCAGGTCAACTTCATAAATATATAACCGGATTCTTAAAGAAATAACACTGGCAGAAATCTTATACCCTCATTGTAATGCTCCCTGTAGGTGCTTCATTTAAAACAGAACTGATAGCTGTGTTAGCAAACTGCCACAACCAGCAAGTCTAAGTCAGAAGGAAGAAGCCTGACAATTGTGTCATAATGTTTTTCCATAAGCAATTCAAGTTTTTGGAAAAAACAAGACCCCTTTGGAATGTTGCAAAGGGCAGTCAAAGATTGCAGATTCTCTCTGTGGCTGAGCTAACATATTACATGATCCCGTTGCAATGTGTACAGAGCTTCTGCAGAAGATTGTGTTTGCACATGCTAGCCTGTTAAAACAGAGCCTAATAAAAGTGTTCAGTTTTAATATCTACTTAGAAATGGAGCAGAACCATCAATTTCAATCATGTTGCTTTGACCAGGTCTGGTACCTGGTATAGCAAAAGAACACAAAAAATTCTCAATCTACATAGTGCTGGCAAGAAAAAGAGAAGTTGATTGCTAGCAGTGTTATTGATTATATGCACCAGCCTGTTGTTTTTACATTAGAAGTATTTCTATGTCTCTTAGATGTTTGAAAAACATTAAAGTTTATAATAATATTAAACACAATAGAGACTCAGTGCACAAAATTCGTGCATGAGGGTTGGGGTCCCTCAGCCCAGCCTGTACCCTCTTCTGTCTGGGATCTCTTGTGGGATTCCTGATGCAGCAGGGCATCACTCTCACAATCCAGGACTGCTGGCTCCCAACTGCTCGCCTGCCTGCCTGCCTGAGTGCCCCTAACTGCTTCTTCCTGCCAGCCTGTTCACACCCTAACTACTCCCCTGCCAGCCTGATCGATGCCTAGCATCTTCCCTGCCAGCCCCATTACCCTTAACTGCCCTCCCCTTCTGGCCTGGTCACCCCTAACTCCCTCCATTGCCAACCTGGTTCTCCCAACTGCCTTCCTCTGCCAGCCCTGTCACCCCTAACTGCCCTTCCCTGCAGGCCTGGTCCCTTCCAACTGCCCTCCCCTGCTGGCCTGATTGCCCACAACTGCTCTCCACTGCCAGCCATCTTATGGCAACCATCTTGTGTCCACATGGGGGTAGCTATCTTTGACTACATGGAGGCAGCCCTCTTTGATCACATGGGGGCAGCCATCTTATGTGTTGGAGTGATGGTCAATTTGCATATTACTTTTTTATTAAATAGAATAGGGCATGTAGACATGAAAATTCAAATAGCATACTTTTTCAGTTCATTCACAATGTATGATAGGCCTGGATGGTATGGCTCAGATGGTTGGACCATTGTCCCATTCATCAGAAGGTCATAGATTTGATTCTCTGGTCAGGGCACATAACTGGGTTTCAGCTTCCACCCTGGGTAAGGGAACTCAAAGGAAGCAACCAATCAATATTTCTCTCTCATATCAATACATTGAGTTTCTCTCTCTCTCTCTCTCTCTCTCTCTCTCTCTCTCTCTTTCTCTTTTTCTCTTTCTTTTCCCTCCATCTAAAATCAATAAAAAGCATATCACAAAACCAAAAATTCACAAAATAGATGATAAATATTGCAGGCTGGAGGAGTGATTGTCTATCAGCCTTGTTTGGAAAGGCATGTAAAAATATATGCGTTGAGCTCATTCTGTAGGACAGTTGGATGTGAATTAGTTGGATTGGTAAGGAAGGATGTCTTAGGGAAAGGCTGACTACACATTACAAGGCAAAGAAAGAAAATAATAAGTGATCCCTAGAAGCTCTGCATGGCCTAGCAGACTGAGCAGGGGGTTCTTTCAGAAGCAGAGGGAAATGTGAGGAAGATGAGGGCCAGCTGGTGCATTAGTACAATACTTTATATAATTGTTTGGGCTTTAAATAAAGGGCCTAGATTACCAAGGGTCTAAACACGAGGTCAGTTTCCCCAGAATACAAGTTTTATAGACCAATGCTAGTAACTAGCCCAGATTCTGGAATGTTTCTAAGTCCATCTATTTATCCATTTACCACTCATCTTTCAAGTGCTAGGTCAAGCTCCCCTTAACCATGCCAATAACTCCTTCTCTGACTAGTTTTGCATTTATTTTCTGCTGTTTTCAGCCTCAGCTGTTACTTCTTTTCTCCACTTAGTATTCCATGACCCAACAGTGCCCCAGAAATTATAATTCTTTAAATACTCCCAACTTTGTTTACTTATCTCTAAACCACATCACTGACCCTAATGGCCTTAAGTGCTCCACCATTTTAAATGTGTTTAAAATTTTTGACTTTTTTTTAAAAAAATTATCTTTATTGCTATAAGTATTACAGACGTGTCCCTTAAAATTTTGACTCTTCAACATATGTGACAGTTGGTTATGAACCAAGCTCTCTTATTTATTTTATATCTGTCTTGAGTTCCTGTTCTGTGTCTTGTTGTTTTGCTTTGACTACATCCCTCTTTCTTACCAGAATACTCGTGTCTAGAAAACAATTGCAGCTTTTTATTCTTCATTTTTCTGCTGGGCACATCAAAATGCTTCTTGGATCAAAAGCTGTCCAGAGAATGAACATATGAATTAATATAGAATATATTAATGATGAAAACTAATAGAAGGGGTGTGAGGATTGGGAGAACATTTAGGAACATCAGAGGTCAGCAATGCACAGTGATACCTGGGAATAGGAACGGAATTAAGCCAGGGCGACCATTGCTGACACTTCTCAACATGGCATTCTTATTGTCCCTAGCGTTTCACCTCACACTTTACTAATCAAAACACTTAAAATGTCTTTACTGAGAAAAGGAGTGCTTATCACTGCTTGATAGACAGAAAGCTAGAACTGGAGAAAAACAAACACTTAAGAGAGAAGTTTAACCAAAATTACTTAATGACTGTTTGTGGAGTAGAATTATCCTTCTGAGGAATGAGACACTAGCCTAATGAATGGACAAAGGCTTTATTTTATGGTAGTGCGTGAATGTCACATTATCTTTAGATTTTAAGACACAAGCTTTCAGACACAAGATGAGGGCTAAGTTGATCACATCTTATTTGTATTCGGCAGGCTTACCCTGACCAAAGTCTCAAGTTCAGATAGAGACTCTGCAAAGGATAATCGATTTTTGTTCCGGTCACCATCATTGTCGTTTATTCTGTCTCATCTGTACAGTTTCTGCCATGAATCAATGGAAAAATTAGTTACTGTCAAAAAGAATTCTTTTGTGATTTTGAAGTAAACTTATCCTAGAAGTCACTTGTTCCTAAAAAAAAGACGTTCATTGCGAATATTATAAATAGAATTTCCAAATGGGAGACATTTGAAAAAATATAATTAATAACTATGGTTTTGAGCAACCACAACATAATTTTTATCTGAGTTTTAATGAAGTAAAACCCCTAAATAAGACATAATTTAAACACTTTATCCCACGTGAAATAATTGCTAACTGGAAATTATACAAACTGTAATATGTGCTAACCTTGGATCTCTCTGGAACTTACAAATGAGAGCACTTGCAAATATTTAAGGAGACAACTCAGCTTCCCAGACCATAATTAGTGGTGTTTTATGAAGGCCTGGAACTGTTTAAATTGCCCATGCGTTTGTTCTTTCCATCTATTCATTCCGTGAGCAATGTATTTCCCTTTTTCCACTTTGTATGAAGAATGAGGGTAGAAAACACGCGTAATTCTATACTTTGTGAGAAGTATCGAACACATTCATCAGTTTACCCTCAAATGAAATTCTTTATCCTCATTTGTTCTCCATTGTGGGCAATTTGTAAATATTCATATTTAAATTCAGTGCCTCTTTTTGCAGAAGAAAAACATGTGAACCCCAGATGAGAGTCTAGTTAGTGGGGTAACAAGTAAGAGGCTTAGTTTTATGATGTCTCATTATCTCTGCTTAGTAAAGTCATTTAATTGCTCCTTGGGCCTTTCTACAAAAGAGAGAGAGAGAGAGAGAGAGAGAGAGAGAGAGAGAGAGAGAGCGCGCGAGAGCGCACGCTATATTTACTGGCCCTGTAAAAAGTTCTAGGAATGTTAACTGGTCGAAGTTAGTCTAAAAATCGCATTCAGCATCACACACGATGCTGAATGCGATTGAACATGAACATGGCCACATTCGTAATTTGCTGAGATTTCCTTGCAGATGCTGGTCTGTCTGGTACTACTGGCCCAGAGGCACTAACATTATTGGATAGCTGTTGTAAGGACTAACCCACAGGTTGCCATGTTTTATTTGAGCCCTAAAATTGTTTTCTTTTTCATTGAGTCAACATTAAAATGTTGGCAGATTTCACATAAAATTCCACATTTCTATCTTCTGTGGAACTCTGGCACACTTGGCTTATATTCCAGCATAGAAGCAATCGCTGGAAATGAATGCTCATCGCCACCTTTGGAAAGGTGTAACTTTCCAGTTTGTTACTGTTTACCACAGATGCTGTGTCCACTGTTACTGGTCAGGAAGCTTGCTGCCTTGCTTTCCTTTTTTTCTTGTACCTCTTTAAAGAAGACAAATGAAAACCAGAACAGTAGTCTTCTTTTTAAGAAAAAATATGACAAAGTGTGTTTATTTGTGGAGTTTTTTCGCCCAGAAAGTAGAGGTATTAACAAGTGTTTAATAGAGTTAGATAAATAATGTTTGTATGTGTTAAATGATTATAACTTCCCTGGCTGGGCGGCTTATTTGGTTGAAGCATGGTCTTGGGTTTGATTCCAATAGGAATGCAAACCAGAAGCAACTGGTCAATGTTTCTCTTCTCTCCCCTCTTCCCTCTCCCCTCTCCCTTCTCCCCTCTCCCCTCTCCCCTGTCTCCTCTCCTTTCTCTCCTTTCCCCTGTCCTCTCTCTCTCTCTCCTCTCTCCTCTCTCCAAAATCAATAAACAGATCCTCAGATGAACACAAAATAAAAATAAAATTATACCCAACAGCTTTCCTCATATCACTAACACTCAGATTCTATTAGTGAGCAGGTTACAGCAGCTCTCAGCCTACCCTTGAGTTTGGCCTTGGGTGCCCTGTGAATGGAATCTTCTCCTCAGAAGCCCTTGTCATGCTCTCTGCCCAGAACTGCTGAAGCCGTCCAACAGTCCTTTTTCAGAACTCAGTTTGGCTTTCCATCTGCCCCTTTGAACATGATTCTCGGCATCTTTCCCCTCTTACCAGAATAGAGGTCCCTATTTCTTACAGCTCCTGCACCAAAATTAGGTGCCAGATACAATAGAGTAATTCACTACTCTTTGTCAAATATGTACTATTTGTCAGCTTTGTTATAGGTCCAAGGGTGAAGCAATGAACAAAAATACACCCAGTTAAAGTCAATACACAGCTTATATTCCAGAGAAAGAAACAGACAATAAAAATCCAAGCAGCTGTCCTGGCCGATGTGGCTCAGTTGGAGCGCCCTCCTGTACACCGAAGGGTCACAGACTCAATTCCCAGTCAGGGCCCACACCCAGGTTGTGGGTTCCATCCCCAGTCATGGTGTGTACAAGAGGCAACAGATCAATGTTTCTTTCTCACAATGATGTTTCTCTCTCCCTTCCTCTTTCTAAATATATTTTATACAATATAATAATATAGAGTTAGGCAAGTAGGACTCCGAAGCAAAGTAAAGCAGGCTAAGGAGATAGTGGAATTGGAGAAGGGGGGCTATTTTTATATGTGTCATCACCTTGAAGGAAGACACTTTTCAACTGAGACTGAATGAGGTAACAAGATCATGGCCTTGCTTGAAGAGTGTTTCAGATGGGGACTAAATGCCAAGGTGCTGAGGGGACCATGCCTGAGGCTCCGGAAGAGCAAGAACTGAGATGGGAGTGGTAGATGTGGGCTAGGCTCACAGGGGCTCGCAGGCTGTTAGGATTTTATTCTAATGTTAATAGAAGTCACTGGGGCTTTCTTTTGACAGTTTCAGAGGGGAATTGTCAGGCTTAATTTACCACATCAATCCAAGCTCCATCTTCAGAGACACTCTTTTGGGAGAAGGGATCAGATGGAATAAAATTCCTGCACATTAGAGTTCTGAGTGAATTTGATAATGATAGTCTAATTTATTTTAGCCGGTAACAGCCTTTGAGTATATCCACATGATTTTTCCCCCCTAACAATACTATATCTAGCACAGAATAAGAAATAGGAAAGTAATGGATGAGGAAGGTGAAAAGTTATATACACAATGGTGTCAGCTCCTCTCAGAAAAGAAAAAAGAATAGAATGAGTGGACTTAGCCTCATTCAAATGCTCAAATTATACACCTCGTATGTTCATTTTTTTACAGACAGTACTATATAGTACTATATACAGTTGTGTTGTTTACTCCTCAGTGGGCAGCAAATAAACTTAAAACAACTTGGGCTAAATATTTAGAAAAGTTGAGGACTTTTAATCATTACTGAAACTAAATAAGTATTTTATTAACTTGGTTTTTAAAAAAAATATTTTTTAGTGCCCAGGAGGAGCATTTACACCCAATATGCGAACCACCAAGGAGTTCCCAGACGATGTGGTCACTTTCATTCGGAACCACCCTCTCATGTACAATTCCATCTACCCGATCCACAAAAGGCCCTTGATTGTCCGAATAGGCACGGACTATAAGTACACAAAGATAGCTGTGGATCGAGTGAACGCTGCTGATGGTAGATACCATGTCCTATTTCTTGGAACAGGTAAGTAGTTGAGCTCAACTTATACTTCAATGTGTAGAAATGAGTATAATAGGTAAGGACTATGATACCGAAAACAAAGAGGTCCCAATGTTTATTTCTGTCTATCAGTGAGATAGTTAATGTCTTTATGCCTCGGTTTCCACATCTGTAAATTGGAGTTGATAAAGTAAAAAAACTGCTTTATAGGGTTGTGTATAAATGGATTAATATATATGTTAATATATATTAATATATAATATAATTCATATATTAATATATATAATTAATATATATGGCACCTAGAATAGTTCCTGGCACATATTATAGTGAAATGTAATGATAATAACCCGAATGAAGAGAGGAAGACATTTTAAGCATGGGTAAGTGGTTTCCCAACTAAAGCAAATTTTGTGACATTTTTATAAATACATGGATCCACTTTTCAATGATAATGATATATATCTACTATTCTAGATAACATTTGAAAGTGAACTTAATAAGCCAAATATAGATTTTTTTTAAAAAGTATTGATGGTACTGTTTTAATGAATTCTAGTTTGTCAGTTTACTTCAATAGGCAAGTTGAATGAAAATACTCCTGCTTATAGACCTGTTGTTGAATGGCTAGCCTCATAGAAGTGGTTCTCAAAGTGTGGTCTTCAGACAGAGGAGCAAGATCAATATCACCCAAGAATTTGTTAGAAATGCAAATTCTTGGACTCCAACCCAGAAACTCTAGAGAGGAGACACAGCCATCTGTGTTTTAATAAGCCCTCCAGGTAAATCTAATGCACACTAAACTTACAAAAATTAAAGAAACTAAACTGTAAGGCAGTACATAACATCTTAATATTTTTCTAACATTCCTGACTACCGTGTAGGCATTGATGAAATCTATTTACTTATCTGTTGCAGTATTAGAACTAGTCCATGAAATTAAGTAAGTTTCTCTACTCTTTTAAGAAATGGAAGTTGTCTGTGGAATATGTATTCCAAGCTAAGGAAGAAATTGCACTCAAACTTCAGTCAATTTAAGATGTGAATACTTTTTATTTTTTGGCTATATATAATTTTCAAAGTCTGCTTTTCTTATACCATTCTTATTGCACCCTTGTTTATTTATCATTATACTCAAAACCTCAGATAGGGATTTTTCACTCTCATATGATTACAGCTTCTACTGGTCTGAGGTTGAGAAGCTTCTGACATGTACTCTTTGGCATCCTCTCCCACACTTGGACCTATCTGTGTTTCCACTTGTCCTTTCATTGCTTACCCGATACGCAAGGAGTAATCCTTCCTCCCAGACTAACCAATTCCCACTCTGCTTTTAATTTCATCCCCTCCTGACATGTCCAAGGCCATTCTTCATCAATTATATTCTAGTTCATGTTTTCTTACATTTTATTCTCCACTTAATTCTTGGCTTCGAAACCTTATGCTAGGATATAAAATAGACCCAACTTCACCCATTGCTACCTCTGCTATACTGCTGGTTTTGCCAAGGTCTTCATTGCTCCCAAGGAAAGAAAATCCAATGGTCTTTATGCATTAAAATACCTCCATCTCCTCTTTGCATCATTTGGCATTATAGACTCTCTCTTTACTTGGTTCAGTCACAAGTTACAAAAGTCCTCTTTTCTCTGGAAGCTCCTTCTCAATTTCCTTCATTAACCTGCATTTCTCCTGCCCCTGAAATGTGGGCATTCCGGGAGTTTCTTTCCATGGTCTTCTTTTTACATATTCTATGGCCATTTTATTTATTCATTTGGTTCTAATAACCTGTAATCCCAAATGTATATCTCTAGTCATTGAAATTTCCTGAGCTCATTATTTGCATTTACAATTTACTGTTAGATAACACAAATTGCATGATCCGTTAACATTTTAGACACCATACTGCAAACTCAATTCATTCACTTCTAAAACCCTCTATCCGGTGCTTAATCTAGTATTCCATATTTGTGATCTTATTGCACATTCCTCTCAAGGTTCTATTTATCCTTGACATATATTTTCTATCTGTCATTCCACAGTACCTGGTAAGCTCAATAAATATTTGTCAAGATGAATTGAAAATATAACTCTGCCAATCACTATTACTCATGTAATTAAATCCATTACTGACTTTAAAAGCTAATACCATTTGAACATATCCTGTGTTCTTCAAAGAGGTAGCTTCTAAGTTAATGACTACAAAGAGTTGCTTTTAGTCTGGGCTCAGATCAGTCAGTGTGGAGTTTGCATTTAAAAAAAAAAAAAGTTTACTTTTTCCTGAAGTGAAATGGTAATTTTAGAGTCAATCTCTCCATTAATGTCTCATTGAAACTTGTCTTAATGTGGACCCTGATGTTATAACCAGGCTGTTTTTTCTTGTAACTCTATATGAAATGTGTAAATTTCATGAATGGAATTTCCAAGTCGTTTTAAACTGTGCAGCAGTGTTTATTCAGATAAAAGGCAGTAAGAAACATGCTTTTACACAAGTTCTTTGGCTTTTCTTACCACATCAGTATCTGGCATCTTTACATATACTTTTTACATTGGTATTTAAACATTTGTGTCATTTTGAAAAATAGTACTGAGGAACATGTCTTTAATTTTAGTGGGAAACTTCCTAAGATCACACACAAAGCCACACAAGTCTCTTGAAGAGTATTCTAATAGGAAATGTTTCTCCCAACAGTATCTATCTGAAGAGATAGTAACTTAATCACTGAACCTTATTCTCATGGCCATATCAGACAACACTACGACTTAAACAGAGTGCTTTCAATTTTCCCGAAATTCTAACAAGCAATATATCACTCTAAACTATTTTCTGCCCAAGTAATTGTTGAATTGCTGGTAAAATTTCTTTAAAGGAAAGTTATCAGTGCTTGTTTGCTGCTAAAAGTAAATAAAATACTTTTCTTAACTGGAACGTGGGGGAACCATATTATACATCACTATTCCTTGGATTTCTTAGGTTTGTGTATCTAAATGTATTAGGTAGAATATAATATCTCCAAATCCTCAAGTAAAGAAGAGCCCTTCAGCTGTTATAAATAAATTAGAGGCGCAGTGCGCAAAATTCGTGCACTGATAGGGTCCCTGGTGGCTGGTGGTGGCCGGCTGGGTACTCCCTCACTTCCCCCGGCTGCCTGCCACCTCCTGGTAGAACTCCCAGAATTCCCGCTCAAGGCGACAATTTGCATACTATGCTTTCCCTATATAGGATAAGATGCTCCAATTATTGTCACAATAAGGCAAGCTAGCTCTCATGGTTTCTGGACCATCATGGAAAAATCAAGGGAATTTAATGGAGATATTACTTGGCAAAGAAGATGTCATAGGAAAAATGTGACAGTGTGTTGAAATGCAGATATGATTCTCCGTGCCTAGTAACTGTTACAATTAGCCAACTCTGGCTGAGTTTGAGAGGATGATAATCTAGCCTTCTATTCTCATGGGACTGTTCTATTTTATTTTGTGTGGCTGCCATTTACCAAGATAGAGATATAAATACATTCTATATAATAAAAGGCTAATATGTAAATTGATTGAACCACCAGGGGGCATACACTCAATGCCACTCAGCCAGAAGCCCGGCTCATGGCTGGCAAGTGCAGCGGCAGTGGCAGGAGCCTCTCCCACCTCCACTGCAGGGCTAAAGATGTCTGACTTATGGCAGGGAGTGGGCCTAAGCCATCAGTCAGACATCCTCAAGGGCTCCCCGGACTGCAAGAGAGCACAGGCTGGGCTGAGGGACACGCCCCCCCCCTCTTCCCGCCTCCAGTGCACAAATTTTGTGCACCAGGCCTCTAGTAGCTAAATAAAATAACAGGAAGAAAAGAAAAAAGGAAAGAAGGGAGGGACAGAGGGATGGAGGGAGGGAAAAATGAACTTTGTCTTCTTATCTTTACTATTTTTATTTTTTGTTGTTAAAACATCAGTTTTAATTGTTGACACTATTGCAGAGGTTCCTCACCTCCACCCTCACCCCCTGGCCTTCACCACACTGTTGTTTGTGTTCATGGGTTATACATATATGTTATTTGGTTAATCTTTTCACCTTCTTTCATCCAGTCATCACCACTACCCTCTAAAAAAGATCACAGCTTGAAAAAAAGTATTTTAAAGTTAGTGATTTATTTTATTCTTTAGTAGTATTTGTGATGTTCTTTGGCTTTTTTTTTTGTTTGGTTTGTTTGTTTGTTTGTTAGTTCTTGGGATTTGGGCTGTGGGTATTTTTTGTTTCTTGCTCCTTTTTAATTTTTTTTTTTAATCTTTAGGAAGCACTGAAAACAGTAGACAAGGGCCCCCAGAGGATTAGCATTTTTATTTTAATTTTGCCACTTTCCGCTCACATCCAGGGCATCTTTTCAAAGCTAACTATACAGCATAGTGAAGGCATTTCTTTTTGTTTTTCCTTTGCGTCTGGGGTTATAAAAAACATGCAAGTGCCTGGGTCACATTCAGACACATTCTGTCAAGTTTATATTTTTAGTACTGTACATGAATCAGAATGACATGTGGTTTCTGATGAAAGAATGAGAGTATTCTTATGAATGGATGTTAGAGGTTTAGGATGATTTAATGTCATGATGCTTTTTTCATATAAGTTACATGCGATGTTCTGCCAAAATTCTTATATAGTATGGTATATGGTTTCATACTTCTTGTGAGCTTCTGTTTCACTGGGTGAGTACCAAGTCGGAATGCTGGCTCTAGTATGTCCTTTGAAAATGTGGAGTTTTGAAGTGTGTGCCACAAATGTGACTAAAGACTAAATGTGTTTGGCTTGCAGCATTACAGGGTAACTACCTTCATAGTAACTAACTAGTTTTGGCAGTCACATCTCTTGGAATGACACACTTATTGAACTGCTAAGCTAGGCATTTTGATTTTTAAAGGACTCCCAAAAATATCCCACGTAAAATTTGATAGCTGAAACAAGGCATTTGAGTTTATAAAATACTATTGTCAGTTGATAGCTGTGCATGAATGTCACTCTAAGGATAATGTCTAGACTTCCCTTT